TATGATAATTTAAATCCTTATTACCAGTATTTACTTATGTCTTAGGGTTGAATAATAAACCTTTAATTGCAGGTAAGCAATTTTATGTCAAAATAAATCAGAACTTGGGCACAGTGATAGCATTTATCCAACAATGCCCTTGATTTTGGTACTCATTCAGCATTCTTTATATTAAGTTTTAATGCAAAGTATCTGAAGCATACCTTTAATTCAGATGTTAGATGCAACCCATATGGAAAGAAATGTTCCCCATTCTCTTCCCTTTCTTTTTTTCCTTTCAACCCATAGAGGCCTTATTTTTACAGTACAGCACTTTTTTGATCTCTAAACTAAGAGAAAAACTGAGCCAAATAAAATAAAACCCATGTGCAACAAGCACAGTTGATTGCTGAGGCTGGAAGGGTGAAATGCAGAATGACTTCTTGTTTCAGGAATGTTTTGTTAAGCACTGAGAAATATTGCTTTCTGAAGGAACTATGCGTACTAAATGGTCTTGAAAGTATCATATCAAAAGACTGATGACCGTAATTTAAGAGTGGGAGATCTTAGTCTAGAATAGAGTAAGAAGTATCTTTGTTAATTTATTCTAGTTTCAGTGCTCGTTAAACAAAATGTGACCTGTTCTGAACCCCAGATTCATTGAGAAGTAATATAAAACATTATTAAAGGACGGACATTGGATAGCAAAAATCCCACCACTGTGTCAACACTCAGACCCCTGAATGTCTCAGGCAGCCCTTGCCAAAGGTCTATAGATGGCAAAATTCCCTTCACGCACTACCAGGAGACTGGCTCAAGCACCTAAAGTGGTCTGAGCTGCAGCCTGTGGTGTTTTCTTACCATTTAAAAGCAGATTTTTTGGTCCTTGCAATACACTGGTGTGTTCATGGGAGATGTTCCAGCCAGTGAGCAAGATGCTGCTGAGGGGACCCTGGTATAGGGAGTCAGGTCTACTGCACCTATGCTAAAATCTCTACCATAATTACTAACATTTGCCTCAATTGGAAGGTGGACAAGGTTATTGATGTCACAAGGTTATTGGTGTTACAAATCAAGGGAGGACAATTATAGTGACAATCCAAAAAATATCAATCTGAAGAGAATGAAGCAGTTCTTACTTTCTGTATGAGCATGGGAAACAAATCAGAGGAAAATTAGGCAATGTCACCTAAAAAAAATTCTGGTGGCCAACATTTTAAAATGTCCGGAACCCCAAGCTCAACCACCAAGCCCCCATCCCAACACTGTAACATTATGCAGATTTTGAAAATAAATTGCAAATGTTCTGGCAAGAATTTAGAACCAAAGATATGTCTGCTTTTCTCATCTATCTCAGCTACTTATCTCACCATCTACAATGCCTTATTACATGCGTGTATACACATATATATATGTATTTAAATTAGGCAACGAAAACAGGCAGAAACTTAGAAATAAATCACAAAATAAAATCAAGCCTGTAATGTTGTTTTAGGTTAAACAGAGATTCACTGTATTACCAGCATACTGGCACTGGCAGGGACTGAAGGTGAGTAGAGAAAGAATCAGGATGAAACACAGAAAGTTCAGAACATTATCAGAGCACTATCCTTCTTCAAATATATATATATATATTTGTGCATAAATGTTATTCTATATATATGCCCATAAATGTTATTTTAAAATTTCAAATGTCAATACTAATATCACTATATCTCATATTTTAGCTGTTATTAAGCTAGCTCTAATTTAGACAGAGTATTTCAAAGTCCAAGCAAGAATTAAATTTGAGTTGGGATATATTTAGGAACAATGCAGTTCTAAACATTCCAGGTTAAAATCTTTTCTTCTTGAAAATGGAGTCTACTCAGGATTTCATTATTAAAATTGAAATTATTTCTCTGGTTCTGCATTTAATTGGGCTAAGTAATGGCTGGACTAAGCATAAATTGTTTTATTTCCCAGGAAAGGACTCTATGTACCATATTTTACAAGAGCTATATTATTTGGTATATATTTAATGTTAACTTCTAGTGAAAACGTTGTGAGATGAAGAGGACATCTTATTTTATACAACCTGTTTCACAATTAAGCCCCCTTGAAACTAAGATATTTAAATGAGCAGAACTATCTCACTTGTTTTGTTCATATGACTTTTGTATAATCCACCTATGGCTGATACTTCTTGAATTCATGAAGCCTCATATTCTTGATCTCTCTTTAAAGATTAATTTATAATTAAAACTGAAATACACACAGCAACCTACAAACACAGGTATAAAGTTCCCTTAACAGAATTTTAAGGCTGCAAGTTCAAGAACTCGGAGGATATATAAATGAAAGAATCAAGACTGCCAGTGAATTCTCAAGTCGTGCCTCTTTTTTAAATATGATTAATATTTAATGATCTTCCTCTCTTCTTTGTTTCTGTTCCCTCTAAGAATTTTTCCAGAAGTTTTTCTTTGGGTAGCTCTGGAAAGTAGTTTCTCCAGGTCAAGAAGCCCACTGCTAAAGTTCTAGATTTTATTTAAAAACTTGAAGAGATTTACCAGGTCATAATTTTTCTTAGTATTGATCAAAAATTAGCAGTTGAAGCATGGAAGTTATGTATAGGCATAGAAGTGCCTTAGTTTGTAATCCACCATGGAAAAATCCAGCCCAAATAAAACTGGACAAGGTTATAAGGCATGTCACACGTCAGCAGTGAGGAGTATTGGACAGTTGGATGTTAATGGGAGCTGGAACTGACTAGTTCTGCCTGAACTGCAACCTGTAAGGAAGATAAGAAAATAGAGAACCTAAATTCATTACTGGTTTGGTAGGCTTTTCTTTTTTCTTCCCAAAGCAATTTTCAGCAGCCTGGAATGTCTGTGTTCTTCCTTGTCAAAGACAGCTCTGGAAATCTGACACAAAGGATAAAGTGCAGAAGAAGAAAATGCCACCTGAGTGGCATTTTAGCTGTTTTCACTTCTTTGAAGTAGCCTATGGCTCTTAAGGAGGTTGTAACCCTTCTCTGAGTCCACAGACAAATCAGTTTTTGATCCAGCATGATTAGAATATGCCATATGAAATGGGCAGAAACTAATCATAGGCTGAGGTCCAGTTTGGTAAACATTTTGAGCCTAGAAGCACCCTGAAAAGTGCAATATTTATTTAGAAAATTGCAGAAGAAAAATATTGCATCTTTTTATTTTGAACAATTAGCTTCAAAATTGACCAAAACACAATTCAAACATCTGGTCTGGCTGAATGGCCACACACTGCACCAGGTCAATATGTGAAAAACACTAAAACACTGGAGTCTCCATCTACCAGGTAGGGAAAAAAGTAATCTATTTAGTGATAATTTAACACTATTCTTACGAATTCTCTGAGTTCATTGCAATCAATCTGCCTTGGCTTGCTAAAGAACAAAATGCAAACAGATTCAGCAGTAAAGAACGTGACCTCATCAACTTGAATACCTGCCCTACCTTGTGGCTGTCATTAACTCATAGTTGTTGACCAAAAGGATCATAAAAGTTTTTTTGCAATTAATGACTGATTGTGAATTTTAAAATCCAGAGCTATGTATGTTAAATTAATCAGCAACAGTTACCATGCCCATGTTTATTCAGGCTTTGTTTATTGTGAAATATGAGATGACATATTTTACTTGTCACTGTGGAAATATTGATATAATGAGTGGGAAGAAAATAGACTAGTTTAAACATAGTTAAATTATAATTAGTACTAATTATTACAGTAAAAGCAACCTTCAGGATTTTGGAGCCGAAAATGCTGATTCAGGCTTTAGTTTGAAAATAAAAATATAACATTCAATTTATATGTGGATTTATATGCCAGGTTTTAGATTGTGGTTCAAAAATACCTGGGAAAGCATGTAAACATATACATGATTAGCACTTTTTTGGATAAGGGCATGGTACAGTAGAAATAATATAAACTTTATAGTAAAATAATATTAAGAATATATGCTATAACTAAAGAAAATTATAAGCTGATATCAAAGACACTGATGATATTTCAAGGAAAATACAATTTCCCATTAAACTAAGGCATAACATTATAAGTTCCATAAGAAAAAGAAATTACCTAAAACTTGACTTTATATGTGCAGAATTTTACCCAATGTAGATTTACTTCTTTGTGGAGCTATTCAGATTCTTCTTTGTTTCCAATGTATTTGGTGAAATTAGTTTATGAGTTTTCTATAATACACTATGCTTCTTCTTTAAAAATTTTTTGTCACCACTGTTTTTAAGATCCCATTTTATCAGTGAATATTTGAAAAACTGCATTTTGTTGGCATTTAAAGTTGCAGAAAAAATATAAATTGCAATAACTTCAAAGAGATTTCAACTTGGTATAAATAGATTTCTAATGCTGATTAAAGCACTGAAACTTATGAAGTGTTTCCACATAAAAGAATTTCTTTTGTTTAATTAAAAATAAAATTAATTTTTTACTCCTTAACATAAAAGTTGTCAAAAAATTTCATCATATAGCTGTTGTTTTGAATAAATCATAGAATCATAGAATTGTAGAATTGCAGAGTCATAAAATTATGGAATGGTTTGAGTTGAAAGGGACCTTTAGAGGACCTTAAATTTAGCCATCTGATCTTGTTGCAGAAGGAAAGAAAACAGAGTGAGAAAATGCAAACTATCAATTTCACAGCAAAGACAGCATTTCAAGATGCAATATTGTAAAGTGCCAGAAAAATATAAAGGTGAAGGCCTCATGAAAATCAAGATGGAGACCTGATAACCCAGTTCTTCAGGCAATGACTGGCTGTGACTTAACTGCTGCAAAATGATGGTGCATGTTATAAACGCATTTATTTCAAAATTATATAAAAGAGAAAGCTATATATTTCAGTGCCTTCATAGTAGATTCATACTTTTAGGTTTGAAAGTGCCAGGTACCATACCTTTTCTGCTGAAGAAATGTAAAATGTGTCATCCTTTAAAATTTCCTCATATGGTAACTAGCACGTACATGATTGAACATGAGTTTTCTTTTACCCTTTAGACTCCTGGGTCTTGATGTAACGTGGGTGGGTTTCAGGGTGTCCAAAGGAAGAGGAAGAAGAAGCTTTAGCAAATGGAGATACATGTCACCACTGAGGGGTTATGCATGTCACTTGCATTTTAAGGACTTGAAATTACTCACCATCTTCTCTAGATCCTGTTTTGTAAACAGCTGCTGTTTAAGAGACAAGTATGATTTTAGTCATCAGTCAAATACCATCATTCATCCTTAATTTCTATCCAATTCAAGGTTAATCACAATTTCTTGATATGTCAAGGAACAAAACAGGGCTGACTTGCTTCTTAGAAGAATTGGGTACCTTAGAGAGTAAAATAGAAAAGTAAATGCCTAGTAATTATTTCATTCAAATTCCATTATCATGAATCCTCTCTCTTTCTCTCTCTCTCTGTATGTATGTGTGTATATGTGTATAAAAGAAGAGAGCAAAGGAAAATGCCTGTTATTACTTTGACTGCCATATATTCATTCAATTTGGCAGTACCTGAAGGACTTCAAGACTCATGATGTAGAAAGTGTAAAATGTGTTTTTAAATCTTCATGCTCCATCTGTTTTTAAATTAAAACAGCTATTCCAAATTTTCCATTTGTATTCCTCAAAAAGTGACTTGCTTTTTGGTGAAGGTATGTTTCATTATGCTCCTTATTTCTTTAGCTAATTAAATCTACTACCTTCTGTAGCTCAAATATATTTTTAAACTTGCAGCATTTGCAGTGGACCTATGGATGGAGAAGATAATATTTTAGTAAATATGTTTAGCGCTCCATTGTTTATATAAGGATATATTTTTCAAATTTCTATAAATGTTTGTTATGAAGTCAATCACTTCTTCACTGTCAGAGCAATAAATGTATGTCTAAATGGTCTTTTTCAGGCTGACGTTCCCTTACTCTGCTCATGCCATGAGTTCAGCAGGAGCTGTGTGGCCCAAGCCAATAACTGTCAAACTTGACCATTAAATCCACCCACACAGCTTTCATTTTGTTCGAAACATCTGAGGAGCAAACAGAGACCTGACTCCAGAAGACCTTGTAAGTACTGCTGAGAATATTATCTTGAGTCTATCTGTGTGTTAAGTAATAATTGGAACAAGTAGTACAGTACTGTGTTGCCACTTACAGACAGTTTTTAAATACTGTAACCTCTATTTATAGATCCTGAGGGGGAAGAAGTCAATCCTGAATTGTCTCGAAAGATGTCTTTTGCCTTGAAGTCTACTTAAAATGTTTAAAGTTAACAACAGTTTTTGGAAAACCTCAGCTATCCATAAGTTTGCAGAAGAAATCAAGTGTAGGGGCTCTCTGTGTCATCCTATTTGGCTTTCAGATACCATGGGCTGAGCATTGACAGCTTCTCCTCTTCTTAGTCTCTCACTTGTCTCCTCGAGTGGAGCTGCACTGCTGGTTAGACTCATAGGCTTCCCAGAAAGCAGAGTGGAGAGCAAAGATGCACAGGAGAGCTTCCCTGCTGTGGGGGACAGAGAACCTGCCTTGACTGAAGCTCCCCTTCCCAAGACTTGGTTTTCTGTTTTAACTGATCACAGTTTAATGCAGAAGGTAGAAATGGTACTGGGAGTTAGAAGAGGAATTCAAAGTCTGTTTCTGTCACGCTAAGTACTAAACTACATAATTATATGTCCTTTTGGTCCCTTATTTGCTACTGTAAATCACAAGTTTAGAGACAGGCATCAGCTCCTCACGTGTCTCTAATCCTTGGCTAAATATCACCTTGCCTCTACGTCAAGCAGTCCTGTATCACCAAGATACTGAAACATGCGTCTATCTTATGCACACATTTAAGAGGATAATTTAACATAATTTTTCAAACAAACACTAGAACAAGAAGAGCTCTGTAGTCTTGGGAGGTCAGACAGAAAATTAATTTCAGATGTGCCTGGTTTATTCCTCAGTGGCTTGTTTCTTCGATCTAGGAAGACACTGAACATGTACTTCTGTGCCTTCTCATATGCAGTCTCATCCAGCTTGCTTATGCAGGAATGGTATAATTCCAGAGGTGCAAAAGAGACATGTAGTGAAATCAGTTGTTTTAATGAAAGACTCTTGGGTAAGCCATGTTAAAAATGCAAAGTCAGTTTGGTGTAAATAGTGTAAGTCAACCTGGATGTCCATTGTTTCTACCAAAAACCTTCCACATTTAAACTTCTCAGTTTAAACTATTTTTTCTCCAAAATTGTTATTCCACTCCAATGGTGAGGTAAAAGGTGTTAGTTTAAACAACTCAAAGGCCAGAAAGAGGACAGATTCACACTCAGGAGTGGCTACTGCAGTGGGAAAGCACTTGCTGCAGAGAACAGCTCCTTGTCCATGCTGCCCAGCGTAGGCCTTTGCCTTGCTGGGATGCCTTTTTGTATCTCTCTGTAGGTTTCCCGTCATTCCAGCTGGTGATCCTACTCTCATTTGTAATTCCTGTAGATGCATCCTTTAAAGACCGAGATATTTCATACCTCTTATGTAACACCAGTGATATTATCAGAAATAATAGGTTCCCTTTCCTTTTTAGACATGTTTACAAACCATTTTTTAAAAATACTAAAATCACTGGATTGCTAAAACAATTAGAATATAAGCTATTGTTTTAGAAAAAGGAAATGTCATATGCAGCCAGCAGGACACCTAGCAGGAAACTTGGACCCTAATGTAAATTTTAAAGTTAAAACCAGAGTTTCTAGGTAGAGATTCAGTTTCTCCCTTTTCGGGCTCAGCTACAGTAGAAGGATACAAAATAGGAATATCTCATCTGTGTTAGGATGGCCACACAGTAATCACCTCCTTTTCTCACTTGTGGAGGAAGAGGTGGAAACTCTTAAAGTAGAAAAGAAGCTCTTGAAAACAGTTGGCAAGTGCTGCTGGTGAATAAACTGAAGATGGAGGATTTTGCAAAACAATGGAAAAGAAGTCAGGAGTTTCACATTAGAAATAGTCTTCATTTAGCACAAGGACATCTTTGCATGTGACCAAAACACACTCTGCATGTTTGATGCAGAAATAGACATGTTTACATTGTTTAATCAAAGATATGTTTTGGTACACATTTTTCATGCAATCTGCAGGGTTTGTGGCTGAAAATCTTTGGAATAGGTTACAACTCTAACAAATGTTTCCATACATTCAAGTAATCTTTCTTAAAGCAAAATCACTCCCTGTATTCCTTTGCCACTCGCTTTAATATGTCACTGTGTTGAAGAGGCTATGCATGTCCCATGTAGAGGAACTGCTAGTGCCTGGCTAAAGTATATTGGCATAGGCGAGTATGATCTGGCAAAGAGCAGATCCTTTACTAGTGAATCAGCATAAGCAGTTTGGTTTGGACAGAAACAAACCGTAGAATGCCAGCACAGCAGGAGCATTTCCTCGAATACATCAGTGGTATTCCTTTCTATATGGTATGGCTGCATTCTTTCCAAAAATTTCTAGGCCTGTATTCTTACTTTTCAAAGCATTTTTAAAAGCATACAACCCTCATTCTGAATGTCCCGCAATGAACAAAAAGGGATGTAAAAATTAGAAGCATAAAAATATTAAGATCACCAATCATGCAAAGCATGAGCATAGATGGTAACAGTGTTCCTTGTACTTAAAATATACATGTTGATATTTTTTTCTGGGGAAGTAGATATGTTAAACAGTCTTGTTTCCTCTATCCTGGTAATTGAAAACAATTTTTTTTTCATAATGTTTTATTTCCTCTATAACTAAGCACTAAAGTACTACCTACACTATTGACATGTACTAGATTTCAACTGCATCAGTAACTGGGGCTTAGTTTTGCCTATTTCAGCAGAATGTGATAGAAGAATCAGAAGTAATATCAGAAGTAATACAATAACTGAGTTATCTTACAGCATTTCTGAGGCTATGGATAAATTCTGTGGTCATCATGTGTGAAAGAATAGGAAAACAGAAGGTCAGTGTGTTACTACTTATAGTAGAGTGGTTGTCCTTCACGTCCCAAGGCAGGAAAGTGCCAGGGAGTTGAAACCTATGAATCCATCTCCACCTTTGTGAGGGACAGCCACAGCACACACCCAGGGGTGTGGGGTCACTGAGCATGTGCACCTGCCCGACAGCCTCACAGTCTAGCAACCATGGCGATGTTGGATCAAGGGTTGGACTTGATGATCTCGAAGGTCCCTTCCAACCCAGCTGATTCTATGATTCTACGATTCTATGATTCTACTTCCAATTTACTCAGCCCTTTATGAATGTCCTTGTTTACAGAAATGTTTGAAAACTTTTAATCAGTCTCACTTCTTTGCATTTAAATTACATCTCTACCTTCATAAAATCTCCGTTTTTTTGGAAGTTCCCTTTAATACACAGAGCACTTCTGTATATCAATAATTACTTTTTAGTAGCCCAAAACAATTTCAGGAAGCAAGCAGTGAACTGAAAAAGTTTGCATTCATTAAATCGGGTGATTCCCTTGTTACATTCCACCAGGATGGTGTTCACATTGGCATATCTATTTTAATTCATATTCATTCTCTGAGAACTGTCAGAAACATCTGATGGACTTTGGGGTCCCTTCATCTGAAGATCTCTATGGGCACTATTGGCCCAGGAACATCTATCCTCTCCAGTCTGGGAAGACTCAGAGGAAGGGACATCAGGAGGAAATGCTCTGCAGGGTCTGTCTTACAGATGCTGCTTGACCTCATGTGAAATGACTAGAGGGACCAAATTTCTTGGTACACAAAACCATCACCACTTTGATAATAAACAACTCTGCTCCATTTTTAACGTTGCCCCACCCACACCGCATTCCCCAACTGACAGATAGTGCAGTTTATTTGTTCCCCGAGTGCATGAATGAGATGAATGAGGAAAAGAAATGGCTTTGCATGTTAAGGCAGGCTGTGAGACAGAACCTTCTACATACTGTGCATTTTTTTTGTTGTCATCAATGCCTCCCAGATTTCTAGACATCCTTCAGTGGCTAAAATCATCTTTATCACTTGGATATTAGTATTTACAAAAGTTTCAATCTGATATAAAGCTCACCTTTGTGTAAGCATGGTTAGGTTGTTTTGTTGTGTTTGGTTTGTAGCTAACCTTACCTGCCAATGAGGGAAGTGAAAGGTCACCCATGAGCTACTGAATATTTCTTCTGGCTGACAGGGATTTCAAAGAGTAGAGAAATTCAACCAGTTATAGAGCCAATCTACTTAATCCAGTTCTCATTCTGTCATTGCTGGAGCAGTAAAACAGAACAGCTTAAGTGGGTTTTTTTAATACTTTTTATATCAGAAGTCTAGATGTGGGACATTTATGGTAGACAGATCTTGGAATTTCACTTTACTTGTGGAGCCACTGGAATTGAAGTATCTTCAGAGTGTGATAGATCTCAAATTGTCCCTCACAGTAGTGCTTAAGAGCATCTGTTGAGCATAAAGAGAGTGCTGACATTAGTAGAAAATTCAGTCTTCTGTGCTTTGGTTTGGAAAAGAGATAGTTACCATTCAGGATGAGAGAAGACACCTTGGAGAGAGTAGTTTAGAGGTGAAGGCAGTAGGGGACTCTAATCCTGCACTGGAGTATCCTGCAAAAAAAAGATGATGCAACCAATTTCAAGGGTGATTTTCTTTGTTATTATGAAAAGCGGGATCAAAGCATTTTAAATTCATCTGGAATTAAAAGATAATTAATTTAATTTTCTATTTTTTCCGTGAATTTATGAAAAACCTGCACCCTTCCCAAGCAACATGGTTTCTCTGATTCTGTGTGAAAAATGAAGTTTCTAACCTGACAGAGCATCAGCTAGTGGGAGCGTGGAGACTCAGCAGTAGTTATCTCCCACTCTTTTGAGAAAGAGGATTCACTGTCTTTGATTTTGTTTGTCTTGTTTTTTCCACTTTCTCCCTCAACAATTTTTCCACCACTTAATTCTGCTTTGACATCTCTGTGTTGACAGAGAAATTAAGATTGATGACCTGTTATGTTCTTCTGCTCAGAGAAGATGAATCAAAGTAATTGTCTCACTAGTAAATAAAAATAGCCTAATTTTTTTTCTCCCCCCACCCCTTCAAATAACATAGAACAAAGGAGTTCAGGGAGCAAGGAATGACATGGAAGGCAGTTGAATATAATATGGTGGTGGTGGTCGCTAAAAAAAAAAGGTAGCTCTGCGTATCTTGCCAGTTTGTTCAGACTAAGACTTAGCTCTCAGCTTTGGAGGAACTAGCTGAGTTTTTGAGTTCATAATGTAAGCAGCTGTCAATTTTCTTTTGTAACCAGAAGTAATACAATTTTAAATACCCAAGCTATTTTTACTTTTGTAATTGATCCTGGGTATATTTCTTGTCTTCTTCTATTCAATGTCAGTTAAGGAACATGTAATCATTGGAGACCAAGTTATAGTTATAGATAATAAAACCATTTAGCCTGCCATTTTTTAATGGAAAATGCCTCAGAAAGGTAGAAAAAACAAAAAAAACAGTAAAATAAACCCATACATAAGTATTGGTATAAAAATTGCTACTATTTTTAGAGTAGCATTTTTTCATATTTTTGGAAGATTTCTGTTGGAGCAGTCATATCAAGGATGATTTACTGCAGACATTAGACTGCAGCAGCATTTGAGGGATCCCACCAGAAATATTGGAAAGAGCAATCTTGGGCTCTGTCTTAGGTACTGTATGCGTTCTTGTATCTCTAGAAGACATGACAGTGGTCAAAACCCTGAGGAATTTCGCTGTGCTTCCTGCTAGCAGAAAATATCCTTGCAGTCTGTAACACATTTTAAATTTTCTTTTTGGTCTTCCTTTCCAAGATGTGAAAGAGTTTCCAGGGATTGGGAGGTAGTGTGTTAGTGTATGCTGCAAGTCCTCCAGAAGGAATCCAGCATCCATTGACCTCAAAGGGGTGGTGAGCAAACAGGGAGGTTTCTGGTCTCCTATTCCCACATCTTCATGTAGTTCAGCATGCAGATGCACATGGTTCACGTGTACTTGCACTGCTAAATTACACTTTATTTCCAGGAAAATTGTGTTGTGTTCTTACATCCATTTCATTCACTTGTCCCATTCTGTTCTACCCCGAAGCAAGGCTGAGCTGCAGCTCCTGCCTGCCAACTGCACCAAGAGGATTCTGATTCTCCTCTGTCCTTCAGCTTAAGGCATCCTTGGTGCTCCTTAGGTGTCTCTTGAACATTTGTTCTTGCCCTTTTCCAAACTACTATGTCCTCTGAAGCCACTTATTAAAAATAATCTTTGTTTTTACAGAAGTGCATGAAGACACTGATGTTTTAACACATAGTTGAAGCAAAAACCTATCTGTATAGATGTGATCCCTTGCTAGCTAGCTGTACTCATGTAAAAGTACACTTGGAAATTTACTAAGGTTCTTTAAACATATTTGTGTTTCCAAGTAGAGGATTTGATGAATTGCTTCACAGTCTGATCATATGCATTTCAAAGACAGTAAAGGGGGGTCTGATCAAATTCCATTTAACATTTCAAATTCTGAATTAGTGCTGACATCTGCTGTTTATTCTTGCTGTATACATGTAACACAAGGTGGGGAATTGCTGCCTGTGCTTTTTGCTGACTCAATTTCATGTTTTATTTCTTACAAGGTAACATCGATAGAAATCACGAGGTACAGTAAAACCTCCATAGGTCAATAACTATTCCTATGGGGTTCTGAGATGTGAAATAAGGACCTGACAACTAAGATGAAACTAAATTTTTATCCTTTTAAATGACTAACAATGTTTTTAAGTGGGAAAGAGCTTGAGAAAGTGGCCTAAGGAATGAAGGTGTCTATGTACAGTGTGGATATTTAGCCTAGAACGTCCTTAGTGCGGGGGTCACTTTTCTGTTACCATTTCTGCTAGCACTTTTCTGTTACTCTCTTTACAGGAGCTCCTAAAATGCTGGGGTCCTAATCCACAGCCAGCATAGTTGGCTGCTACTGCAGGGTGAAAGGGTTATGACAACAGTGCAAGAACCCTGTGTCCTCATTCTGCTTGCCTGCTCTGAGTCAGACCCAGCAGCACCAGTCCAAGGAGTTTCAGCTGCCAGCCTGGCCACAAGCATGGGTATCACTCCAAGATACCTGGGCAGGTGTCACCGCTCAGTGTCACTGGGACCTGTAAGACAGAAATAACTAGTGGGTGACAACGGCTGCTTTCATATAGGTTATCATACTGCTTTCATAGCCATGTAGTCATGCCCAGCTGGGCTGGACTGGATCAACAGGACTTTATGTGCTTTGTATTGCCAGGGAGCCTTAACTCCTCCTGCTCTTGCCAGTCATCCTCCCTTCTGACATTACCCAAAGCATATGTGTGGAATAAAACAGTTTTAGGTAATGAGATTTTCTCCTTATAAAAGACATCAGGGAGAAGATAAGGATGGGAGATTCTGTGGAAATCTCAGATTTATCACATCAATGCAACACATAAAACTTTATGTTTCTGCTCTCAAATGAAAGCAAATCCTTGACTTAAACGAAGTGACCATATGTACTGCTCCAAATACAGCCATGACATCTGTTAACTGCATTCCCTTTAAAAGGCATTGGAATTAAGTACACAAATATTCGCAGTTTTAGGATTTGTTCTCTGTGTTAAGTACCATGAGTCAGAGAGATGCAAAATTTTCAGGTTAGTTTTAATACCTGAAAGGCTTTAAGATAACATTTAAACAATTTTTATCTGTGTTGTGGTATTTCAGTCCATTATATTTTCCCTTTTCCAAACATTTTTTTGTGTGTAAAATGCTTCCTTTCCCACAAATCCAGGATCCAGGTTTTTCAGAGATTTGCAATTAAACTTCGAGAACTGGCAAAAGAATGCTTCAGTTTTTCTGAAGGATAATGCTAACTAATGATGTCATTGCTGAGGGTCAGGTTTCTGGATTCTGTGGTGTTGATCCTACTAACAGTTTTAAACTAAAAGAGAATAGATTTATATTAAATATAAGGAATGAATTCTTTACTATAAGAGTGATGAGGCACTGGAACCTGTTGCCCAGAGATGCTGTAAATGTGCCATCCCTGGAGTGCCCAAGGTAAGGTTGAACGTGGCTTTGAGCAACCCAGTATAGTGGAATATGTACCTGTCCCTGGCAGGGGGGATTAGACTAGATGATCTTTAATGGTTCCTTCCAACCCAAGCCATTCTATGATTCTTTAATAACTCTGGCTGAAGTCAGTAGGGTTCCCTCAGGAGAAAGGATATAAACAGGGTACAACATAAAAGAATTTTAGGTCATAAATTCAAGATAAAGCCAAAATATTAATCCCAGGAAATCCATTCTAAGATGCTTTGCAGTATAAGACCAGAATTTTTACTCTCAAAAGAGTGTAGCCATTAACCGTGATAAAAAGTGATAAAAAGACAATAACATGCCTGGCACTGAAAATACCTTTTTTTTTTTTGTATATGAATGAAATTAACAAGTACAGTCAGCCGCAAAATTTGCATTATTATGCAAATTTAGTAAAGTCACTTAGGTCCTATGAGAGGTACTTTACTACTGTAAATTAGAAATAAATAGGTGAGAGGTGATGCTAATTGTTTTGGACTGGATGAGATCTAGGTCTTTAAATTACAATCCTAGTGAGTAAAAACAGTCTCTCAGAAGTCACTGATGTTTTCATTAACCCAAAGCTGGGGCTGGCACAGTGCCTCCTTCCCAGGCACATGCTGGGTTCTGGCCCAGGCTCTCTGCAACCCTGAGACCATGGGAGGGTTGGACATACTTTCAGCTGCCCATGAGCCCCCTTGAGAGGCTTGTATCCACTGTGATGTGGGGAATTTGCTTATGTGACTGAAGGTTTCTCTGGGTGCATATGACCATGGTACACTCAGGCTCCTTGCCCAAGTCATCTCAGCGGTGGTATAAGTAAGGGAAAGAAGCAGATCCTTGCCTTGCTCTCAGTCCCTGCTCCACCAGTAACACTTCCTTTGTACAGGAGGTGGTTGCTTCTGTCTGTCAGTACAAGAATGTACTGTTCTCTCCCAAAGGGAGAGTGTCTGTAAGAAAGTTTCTTCATGAAGGCATATCCACTGCATTTTAATTAAGTGCAGCTTCAGCAAGTTGTGTGAGTTGCTTTAGTTTTAATGGCATCGTGTAACTCACCTCACAGAACTGAAAAATCTACTGAGATCATGAGGGCATTACAAATCATACCTAGATGGCCAAGAATATTTTGGGTCTCCAAAATAATATAGTGTTAGAGAGTCTTTG